ACAACCAGAGGAGTCGCCCCCTGGTGGACACTAGAGAGAATGCAGCTCACTCAACAGAGCAACTGACAAAGTTTTTCCACCTTACAAGTTGTTTTACAAGTTGTTGAGGTTAATTTCCGTTTAGTGAGTTTCCATCCATCCATCCATCCATTTTCCACCGCTTATCCGGGGTCGGGTCGCGGTGGCAGCAGGTCAAGCAGGCCGACCCAGAACACCCTCTCACCGGTAACATGTTCCAGCTCATTTTGGGGGATCCCGAGGCGTTCCCAGGCCAGCTGGGAGATGTAATCCCTCCAGCGTGTTCTGGGTCTTCCCCGGGGTCTCTTCCCAGTTGGACGTGCCTGGAAAACCTCCAGTGGGAGGCGTCCAGGAGGCATCCTAATTAGATGCCGAACCACCTCAGCTGACTCCTTTCGACGCGAAGGAGTAGCGGCTCTACTCCAAGCTCCCTCCTGATGACCGAGCTCCTTACCCTATCTCTAAGGCTGAGCCCGGCCACCCTACGGAGGAAGCTCATTTCGGCCGCTTGTAGCCGCGACCTTGTCCTTTCGGTCACGACCATTGTCGAACCATACGCTTTTCACATACAAAACAAAAAAAAAAAAAAAAAAAGAATCTGATTTCAGTTGACCGTTTAGTGAGTTTATATTGTCATTATTCATCATTTTCATAACAAACTTCATCAATGACTGAAGATATTAAAGTTCATGAACATTGTTCTGTGTTTCACAAGGAGTCAGAGTATCAAATAAATGATGGTGAGAGGGTGGTATTCGAAGGGTGGTGTTGAGCGGGTGGTGTTGGACAGGGTGGTGTTGGACGGGTGGTGTTGGACGGGTGGTGTTAGTGACTTGACTTGAGAGGGCTAAAACATGCTAAACCCAGAGTCTGGGTCCAGTCCGGTGGAGCTAACACCAGTTGTGTCCGAGACAAAAATGTTTCCAGAATGAATCAGAATCGTAGTGACTCACTAAAATAAGAAAACGGTAATATCTGGAAAATGCTAATGACGTAGCTGTCTGTCAGACTGCCGTTAGCTCACAGCTATAAAAGGAAAGGCAGCAGCATGAAGTCACCTGAGTCAGAATAACAACCGTCACTAATGATGTGGTCTTATTTTTAGGTAAATGATATGCGAGTCTACAGTGAACTGGTTTCTCTTCTTAAAGCCTGAATCCATCTTTGTTCTCCAAACGCTCACGAGCTACAATCCTAAACAGACCAAAAGATGTACGTCTCATTATGATGGAATACGTTCCATATGAGAGGAGACAGGGAGCAGGCCTCCATAGCTCACACAATGCTCCTTTGTGTTGAGTTCATATAGTTAACGTCACATAATGCTTCAATAAACGGTACTGACTCCCTCCAACCGGGCTGTCAGGGCCCCGCAGGGGGGCGGGGGTGGTTTACGTCGGGTGGTGTTAGGTACGGGTTTCGGGCGGGTGGTGTTGGGTGGAGACCTCGTGTTCCTGTACTTCTTCCACCACTGAACACTCTTAAAGGTGTTTCCTGGTCTGCGGTCTCTGTGGACCAGCTGAGTCCTGGTCTGGTGTTTCGCAGCGTGTCGGAGACCCTGACTGAGGTCAGCTCTGCCCAGATTTGAGGTCATGTGTTTGGCTGCTGTCATGTGGCTGTGCTGGGGTCTGTCCTCGTGCTGTCACTTCACTGTACATGAACTCTCCTTTACGTCAGTTAGCCGTTAGCTGTTAGCCGTTAGCTCGTCTGTGAAAGTGAACACCAGGTTCTTAGCAGCACAGACTAATGTACTCTTTGTTTTAATGACCATGTTACATGGTCCCTCCCTCCCTCCCTCTGTCTGTGTTTGTTGGTCCGGGTCCAGCTGTGAACCATTAGGGACCCGTCCCCCTTTCTGCTGGATCTAGATCTGTGTTAGAGTGCATGCGTTGGGTTTTCCCCTCGTAAAAAAAAGGAAAAGTGTTCCTCCATAACACTTAACCCCAAAATGTCTCCCGTAGCTGTGCCTACGGTGTAGAAATGTGATAGAATCTGAATTGTAAGTTGCTTTGGATAAAAGTGTCTGCTAAATGTAATGTAATGTAATGTAATGTAATAGATTATGTACATTTCTACAGTCTCCTCTCTGTGTTCACTTCCTGTAGTTCAGTCAAAGTGTCTCCTTGTTGTCACATGACTGTTGGTCTCAGATGAATCAATCATGACGTCATAGTTTCACACTTTAATGTTTAACACACTCTGGTTGAAGTGAACTCTTTATTACAGGAGACATTTATAAAGACAACATGTAGAATAAAATGTTTGTGATAAAATATCAATATTTTAAAGCTTTGTTTTGACTGCTTTTTCTGACGGAAGCGTTCGTCACACGTGATGTGTTCAAGGACCGTCGGAAAGATTAAAATCTGACTATAATGACGCGGTTTTACAGCTTCTAGCTGATAAACGGTGTCGTTTTGGAGATTGTTTAAAGAAAACCTGCTTTTCCATCCCGCCAGCAGAGGGAACAAGAACTCACATCTTAAGAGAAATCGTAGGAAGTCAACAATAAAGTATTTTATAGCATCGATCTGTTTGTAACTCCTGCTGCTCTGAAGCCACTTAAAGGTCAGAGTCTAAAAGGCTAAACTCCGTTCCGTGTAATAAATAGTTGTGTGATGGGTTTCAGTCTCACCCTTGAAGCAGTAGAGTCCGTGTCTGTCGGTGGGGTTCGGGTAGCCGGTCTGGTTTTTGTACTTGTAGAGCGTGCGGACCCCCAGCTGGCCTCCTCCGCACTGAGGCCTGGGGACGGTGACCGGGTAGCGGGCGCTGCCGTCCGACAGCCAGCCGTAGTCACAGCGGTTAAGCCCCGCCCTCCAGGCCGCGAACAGCTGACCGGGAGACGCCAACACGGCGTCGTGCTTCTCACACTCGTCTCTGGCCTCCTGCAGCGAGAGCTTACCGCTGACGGAGGACGGGAAGAAGACATCGCCTTCAGACACACAAAGTTCATTCAATAGTTAGTACGTAGTTCATTTAAGAGACAGGAAAGGATTTAATGATTTAATGATGCATGTTGTGGAGCAGCAAACTTCAACTGATTCTGGTTTAATTCAGCAGTTTATTGACTGTTTAACTCTGATGATGCTACCTACAGCTCTGATCAGGTAACTTAAAGATCCATCAACCAATCAGCTGCAGAGCTGAATCAGCCACATGATGCATCTCAAGCTGAAAACACTGAAAAAAATCCTGCATTTAGATTCATATTAATAAGACGATTTTGTCCAAAGTAACTCAAACATTGTATGTTTTTTATACTTTAGTTTAGTTTAATTTGTGCACAAACTAAAACAGATAAAAAATAAACATTTGGTGGTTTTAAAACATTTTAAACTCGAGCCCTATTTGTAGGCCTCTGCTCGAAAATGGCATACCCATACTAAAGAGACTGCAATTCTGTAACTACAAGGTCTATTTTAATAATCTTTGATGCTATAATTCAGATAACACTTGTGAAATTGTTCAGATGGGTAAATATTGTGTATATGTTGCTGGTTAATATAGTACATGAAGATATTACACAGCTCAAATTGAAAATATTCAGGTTCGCCTGAATAAAAAGCACTTTTATTATGTTTTTGAAATAATGCAGCTGAGAGCCTAAAAACTCTCCCAAATCATAGCACAACCTGTCAGTAGTCCCTCAAAAAAGTTTGGCTGGGATAAAGTGAAGAATGCTTTTTGAGAGCCAGGCTCCTCTCAGAGCCTGTTTCTGGCTCTCATCCATGGGATTTTCTCGTCTGAATTCCAGTCCCTGTGTGTGTATGTGGCTGTAGCTCATCGGTCGATGAGCCCGCCTTGGACGCGTCAGAGTCTCAGGAATGCGGTAGTCGAAGACTGGTGGTGATTGACAGAACTTTCAGCGAGTAAAAATGCAAAAAGTGCCGCGCATCCCCGAACGTAAAATTCCATTCGCCAAAAGTCTGACCACCCACCCCCGGGTCCAGCAAGTTAGATTGACCCCCCTGTTTCCTCCTGCCTCCATTCTTTATGCTAAGCTAAGCTAATGCTAGCTCTGACTCGTTGAAACACTCAGACATCAGACTGATTTCGATATGTAACTTTTCCGTTAAATGTTCTTGCTTGTACTTGTACTGCTCACCGTGTAGTTTATCTACGTAGCAGTACACGTCGTACTCCTCTGTCGGGTCTCGGACGCCGTACGTTCTCACTCCCGGTCGGCTCAACAGGTTTCCTGCACAGCCGGGACGAGGCTCTGTGATTGGATACCTGACAAACAAACATAAATAAATGTCATTACTGTCAATATTTGTGGTCCTTAAGATCTTATTTTCTGCCGGAGTTAGTGGAGTGGAGTCAGCTTCCAACAAAACAATTATTAGTTTTGAGTATTTAGGAAGGTGTTCAGCTGCTGAACTACAGAAAAATGAAACCTCTCAGATACAGTCACAGTCACAGACACATGTACAGATATAGATACAGACGCAGTAAATGTAGATTTCATTACACACCTGACCGACTGGTCGGAGAGCCAGCCGGCGTCACATTGGTCCAGGCCGTCCTCAAAGGCAGCCGTGAGCTGTTCGGGTGTAGCGATGGTGGCGCCTGCAGAGCGACACGCCTCCACGGCTCCAGAGAAGTCCAGAGTGTAGCGGCTGGTGTTGGCTCTGTAGTGGAACACCACACCTGGAGAGAGAAACACCAGGGAGTCACACGTACAGATGTGGAATGTGAGGGGTTGCTGGTACTGGTACTCTAAATACTACGATACCCATGAGCCTCGGCTGCTCTGGAGAGGAAACCGGTCAGAGCTGTGAGTGGGTATTATATACGTAAGTGTCTCCTGATATTTGGTTTGTAGACGGGCTCTAGTATCCTCTCTCACATCCTCGCACCCTCTAGTATCCTCTAGTATCCTCT